AAAAATTTAAAAAAATTAGTTTCACTATTTTTTTTTTTTTACATATTGTCACCAGTGCAGTACAGCATCACCATATAACTGGCATGGCGGTGATCAGGGACACTGACTGGTGACAGTATGAAAAAAAAATATATATATATATTTTTTTAATTATTTTTTATTAAATTTTTTTTTTTTTTTTAAGATTTTTTTTCATATTTCACTATGACCAAAGTAGTACAATGTTACCATAGTAACATTGTATTACTTTGGGGAAGTGATCAGTATTTTTTTTTTTTTTTTACACAATTTGCTTATAGCAAAGAATTACTTTGCTATAAGCAAGCATTTACCTGAATGACATTGATTCGTTCAGGGTTTTTTTTTTTTTTTTTTTTTGTGCTTAGCTGTGATTTGGCCACAGCTAATCACATGACATGTGCATGTGATTAGCTCTGACCATTCACAGCTAGACACTAGTATACAATGGATGGCATGAATGAAGCCATCCATTGTATACAACTGTCATGTGACCTGCTGTGATTGGTCACAGCAGGTCACATGGTACCGGCAATGGAGGCCGATACTCAGATCTGTCATCAGCCGTGTCCGAGGTACACGGTCGGTGACAGATCGCGCCGCTGTGCGGCTCTGCAGGAGCGCAATCTGCGCATGTGCAGGAGACCCGGAACACTGATGACATTTGCCGGCCGCCATTCGGCCATAGGGCGGGTGGCAAATGGTTAAATATGTAAGGGGCGGGGCCACCCGGGGACATCACGCATGTGACACCACCCCATGTGACATCAATGACTTGCTTGGATAAGGGTCTGGTATGGATTTGGGGAGGACCTCACACAATTTTTCTTTAATTTTGGCATGGCGCTACCCCTTAAGATCCATACCAGACCCAAAAGACTTGGTATGGATGGGGGGGGGGGGGGGGGCCCGCGCCGTTTTTTTTTTTTTTTTTTTTTTTTTGCCAACCTTTATTTTTAGATTCAGCTGAAAAAAAAAATATATATTATCTAGACCTTTGAAATATGTAAAACCATTACAGAAATAATTATACAGGATAAGAAACAAAAACAGAATCAATAGAACTAAGGAAATCAAATTAAAATACAAAAAGATATGCCTAGCTACAAATAGTGCTGTTTGTTAAACTAGACGCGATCGAGTGCCGTCTTGCAGAGGACTCCACACAGATATTTACTACAGCATCTAAAAAGAAAGTGCCCACGGCAGACGGCTATATTGTGTTCTGCAGATGCGCATTTATATCTGTGCATAGACGCTGGAAAAGCGTCTAGTTCTTGACTGTCATGAATGCCTTTAAAAAACTATTTTTTACCCATTTAAAAATTTGTTTGAAATGTAAGATATTGTTTAAAGTGAAGTTCTGATATTTGTGAAAGCAAATTTCAATGTGAAAATGTTTCTGCAGTGATTTTTCGTTGTGTTAGATGTGCTTCTAGGTTGTCTGCTGTTTTAGACTGGTTCCTGGATTGTGCCTAGTTAGTAAATTTGCTTTAGTGTCTACTTCACCCACATCTTTAATCTCTCCCTCTCCTCCGGCACTTTCCCCTCCCCTCTGAAACATGCACACATCACCCCCATACTTAAAAAGCCCTCCCTGGACCCCAATGACCCGAACAACCTCAGACCCATCTCCCTGCTCCCAGTTACATCTAAACTCCTCGAGCACCTAGTCTACACCCGGCTAAGCTCTCACCTCAACGACAACAACCTCCTCGATCCCCTACAGTCCGGCTTCTGTCCCCTACACTCCACCGAAACTGCCTTACTCAAACTCTCCAATGACCTGCTAAACGCCAAAGCTAATGGCCACTATTCTGCTCTCTCCTGGCTCTCATCCTACCTGTCAGGGACCATCGCGACGCATGGGTCTGCACATGTGTAGGTGTCTGTCAAGACATGCAAGCAGCAGGGCACTAGGACAGGCTGCGCCTGTCAGGTGCAGGGCGGGCTACTTAAACCAGCCCTGCACAGACACAAGTTGCCGTATGGTCTGATCTTGTTCCTGTGTTCCCGTTGTTTGAGATTCGTTGCTGACCTGCCTGGACCTGACCTCTGCTGACTTCTCCTGCTCTGACCCCTGGCTAAGTTTGACCTCTCTTTTGGATATCCCTACCTGATCTGAACTACTGGTACCGATCCCGGTGAGTGACCTGACTATTCTTCTGCCTGCTGCCTTGTACTACGCTGACCCCTCTGTTACCGACCTGGCCCGTTTGACCACGCTATTGCTCAGCCATCCATCCGACCCGCACGGATTAGCTGCTACTCTCCAGACCTGTCTGCCTCTTCACGTCAGGCTCTCTACCTGTCATTACCTCTGGTGATTCCTCTACCTCAGGTGGGTGTACTCAGGGGCCGCGACCTGGTCACTGTCCGCTCCAAGCCCATCCCCACCATCAGGGGCTCTGGTGAACAAGCGGACTGGGGCTTAGACTCCGCGCCCTGGGGAATCCTGTCCTGTGGACTGCTAGAGTACACCAGGTGGTCCATAACAGACCCATACGGCCATGACGGAGCCTTCAAGAGGATTGACCCCACTGGAGGAAATATGTCAGCACCTGTCGGCTCTATCTCAAGCCGTCAAGGTATTACAAGAAGGGTACACGCACCTTGAGGGCCGTGTCTAGACGCTGGCCGCACCAGCCACCGCGGTCCAGAATCGAGTCCCTGCTGCCACAGCAGAAGAACCGGGCAGCAGAGGAATACGCCGCTGAGTTCAGACGCTGGATGGGGGACACCTAATGGAATCACGCTGCTTTACGTCACTAATTTCGGATGGGTCTATCGGAGTCCCTTAAAGATGAGTTGGCCAGGGTGGGCCTTCCTGATTCATTGGAGAACCTCATCACCCTGTCCATTCAAATTGACCGCAGACTACGTGAGCGCAGGGCAGAAAGGTCCAACCAGGGTCAGAGGCCTGCATGGGTACTTCCTCGCGCTCCTCTTCAACCCCCACCTGGAGGGAACCAGAGCATGGAACATGATGACACCCCTGAACCCATGCAGCTCGGTATGACACGACCATCTCTGTCAGCGGAAGAACGCCAGAGACGACGGGTGAATAACCTGTGTCTCTATTGCGGGGAAGCCGTTCACATGGTACGTTCTTGCCCAGCGAAAATGAGTAAGTGCCACACTGTTTTTTCCTCTGTATCTGCTTTACATGCTAGTCATTTAAGTTACTTAGCGTTGCCTGTTTCCTTGCAGCTCCCAGGAGGAACCGTGTCAGCGACAGCAATTGTTGACTCTGGGGCATGTAGTTGTTTTATTGATTTGAATTTTGCCATGCAACAGAGAATCCCCCTCCAGACCAGGGAATCAAGGTTAAATATCTTCTTAGCCGACGGGTCACGCATTAAGTCAGGGATTGTAGACCGGCAAACCCCGCCTATTTGCACCACAGTGACCAATCATCATCAGGAGTTTCTCCAATTGGACGCCATTGCGTCCCCATTATTTCCAATCATTCTGGGACTTCCGTGACTGCAGGCCCACAACCCCCAGATTGATTGGAAAACTGGGACCATCCAGTTCCGGTTACCTTACTGCCAGGAACACTGTCATGCCCCGACTTCCTCGGCGCCCCAGCCCCTTCTATGTTTAGACGGAGACGCCGAGTTAGTCCAAATTATTCCCCTGGCCTATCATGACTTCTTAGATGTCTTTAGTAAGCGAGGGGGCAGACATTCTTCCTCCCCACCGGACCTATGACTGCCCCATTGACCTTCTGCCCGGATCTGAGATCCCGTTTGGATGGATATTCCCTTTGTCAGAACGGGAACTGGGGGTACTCAAGGAGTACATAGATGAAAACCTACAGAAGGGGCTCATTCGGCCCTCCACTTCACCAGCCGGTGCTGGAATCTTTTTTGTGGAGAAGAAAGACAAGTCCTTAAGACCATGCATAGACTACCGGGACTTAAATAAAATTACGGTTAAGAACCGCTATCCCCTCCCTTTGGTCCCAGAGCTTTTTCAGAGGTTAAAGTCAGCGGTACTGTTTACTATGTTAGACTTGAGGGGCACGTATAACCTGGTCCGCATGAGAGAGGGGGATGGGTGGAAGACCGCGTTTCGTACTCAATTTGGGCACTTCGAGTACCTCGTTATGCCCTTCGGACTTTGTAACGCCCCAGCCACGTTCCAGCACTTCATCAATGACATGTTTAGGGACTACCTGGACATTTTTGTTGTCATCTACTTAGACGATATTCTAATTTTCTCGCCTTCCCTGGAGTCCCATAGGGGTCATGTTAGAAGTGTGTTGGAGCGTCTACGCCAACATGGGTTGTACGCTAAGGCGGACAAATGCAGTTTTGAGCAGCACAGTATTGCATTTCTGGGGCTGATTATCTCCACCACAGGGGTTGCGATGGATCCTCAAAAAGTTTTGGCAATTCTTGAATGGCCGGTGCCCACAGACAAAAAGGGCGTACAACGCTTCATTGGGTTTGCAAATTTCTATCGGAAATTTATCAGGAACTTTTCAGGCCTTGTGTCCCCCATCACCCAGCTTACCAAACAAGGGGTACTGTAACGGACCACCTGACAGCGCCTCTAGCAATCCACTGGTCAGGCTTCCCCGGAGCGCGGAGTCTAAGTTCCAGGGCACTTGTTCACCAGGGCCCCTGATGGTGGGGATGGACTTGGAGCGCTCCGAGACCAGGTCGCGACTACCTAGAGGAATGCGAAGTGGAAGCAATCCTAAATTGCCGAAAGAGAGGGGGCCAGACCCAGTTTTTTAATCCGCGGAGACGGAGTTCACGCATGAGCACTGGCATTCGTGGGTGCGCACCTGGGACCAATGACAGCGCAGGGCGCGATATTTAAATCCCCCTGTGCTGTCACTGGTTGCCGAATGGTCTTCCTGCGATTCCTGTTCCCTGAAACCTGTGACTGTGAGTACTATTGACCCGGATTGTCTGACCTTTGCTGCCTTCTCCTGTCCTGACCCTTGGCTTGCCTGACCTCGCTCCTGAATGTCCCTATTTAGATCTGATCTCCTGTTACTGACCTGGCGTGTGACCCGACCATTCTTTGCCTGCTGCTTTGTACCGCACCGACCCCCCGCCTACCGACTCGGCTTGTCTGACCTAGTTTTAGCTCATCCATCCGTCCATCCATCCATCTCACTCACTGGGACCCCCGGTCCCCTCACATCAGACTCTTACTCTGCGGGATCCTCTGGCAGACTCCTCTACCACTGGTGGGTATACCCGGTAGTCGCGACCTGGTTATAGCTTCCGGGGGTCTGGACTCTCGGTCCAGGAATGGGTCTGGTACGACTGGTTTTAGCAGAGAAAGATGAAATACTGGGTGGATTTTGAAGGTTTCCGGAAGAATGAGCTCGTATGCCACCTTATTAATCATGCGATTTACACGAAACGGGCCCAAAAATTTGGTCCTAGTTTCTTCGAGGGACACAACACCTTCAGGTTGGTTGTTGTCAACCAGACTTTATCCCCAGGTTGCAGCACCAGTTCCCCCCTTCGCTTCTTGTCAAAGGCCTTCTTGTTATCTTCCTGGGCTTTAGCCATGGCTTCCTGAAGCAACTTATTATTGTTGGAAAAAAAAAATGATAGTGTTTTGGGTAGCTGGAACTGCACTCTCAGCAACCAGATCGGGTAAGAAGCTGGGGTGAAACCCAGAATTTGCAAAAAACGGGGATTGTCCCGTGGTTGAATGATTCGCATTATTATAGGCAAATTCCGCCACAGGCAGGAGCGTCATCCAATCATCCTGTAGAAAGGACGTGTAACATCTTAAATACTGTTCTAGTGTCTGGTTGGTCCTTTCCGTCTGCCTGTTGGACTGTGTATGAAATGCAGAAGAGAGGGACAGTTTGATACCAAGTGCCTTACATAAGGCTTTCCAGAATTTGGAGGTAAATTGGACTCCTCAATCCGAAACTATATCTTCGGGGACTCCGTGTAACCACTTCTCAAATGAAGATCTGAGCGGTCTCAAGAGCCGATGGGGTACTTTTTCAGGGGTAAGAAGTGGGCCATTTTTGACAGGCGGTTTATGATCACGAAGATCGCGGTATGGCCCTGGGACGGAGGAAGTTCAACTATGAAGTCCATAGCAATCATTTGCCAGGGCCGATTGGGTATAGGTAGTGGGCGTAGTAGCCCCCAGGCCTTGCTCCTAGGAGGCTTGTTTCTCGGACAAATGTTACATGACTTGACGTACCGTTTGCAGTCTCTGGTCATATTTGGCCACCAAAAAGTGCGTCTGAGATGTTCAAGGGTCTTTGCTAGCCCGAAGTGTCCTGCCATCGGATGATCATGGCAATGTCCCAGGACCAACGTCTGGACCTCATCTGGCACCACGATCAACCCCTCTTTCCATACGAGTCCCCCCTTGTTCTGAAGTGATACCCCAGATGGGATGGGCATAGTCACAGATGCGTCCTGCAGTTTAGAACGTAGTTCTGTCTGGAGAGCCAGAAAGTTCCCTGACAAAAGGATGGTATCAGGTCTTGGTTCTTCCTTAGGATCCTCGAACATGTGCGAGAGGGCATCGGGCTTTGTGTTCTTGGACCCTGGTCTGTATGTTATGTGGAACGAGAATCGGGAGAAGAAGAGTGCCCATCTCGCCTGGCGTGGTCGTAAGCATTTTGCCGTTCTCAAGTATTCAAAATTTTTATGATCTGTGAAGATCAAGATCGGATGTGTGGCCCCCTCTAACAGATATCTCCATTCCTCCAAATCTGTCTTAATGGCCAATAATTTGCGGTCGCCAATGTCGTAGTTTCTTTCAGCTGGAGTAAGTTTTCTTGAAAAGAATGCCACTGGGTGCAGACGTTCCTTCGTGCCCTTCCTCTGCGACAGGATCGACCCCACTGCATTTTCAGATGCATCTACTTCTAGGACATAAGGCACTGCAGCGTCCGGGTGGCCAAGAATAGGTGCAGTGGTGAACAGGTTCTTTAAGGACTCGAAGGCCACCTGGGCCTCCGGCGTCCATTTAAAGCGGGTTCCTTGTTTGGTCAATTGCATTATGGGGGAGACCAGACCTGAGAAGTTCTTGATAAACTTCCTGTAGAAGTTAGCGAATCCAATGAACCGCTGGACGCTCTTCTTATCTGTGGGAATTGGCCAATCCAGAATTGCCGAGACCTTTTGGGGATCCATCGCGACCCCCGTGGTGGAGATGATCAACCCTAAAAAGGAAATACTGTGCTGTTCGAAGCTGCATTTGTCAGCCTTGGCGTATAGGCCATGTAGGCATAATCGCTCCAGAACCCTCGTCACCTGATCCCTATGCGCTTCCAGTGAGGGTGAGAATATCAATATGTCATCTAGATACACAATGACGAAGATGTCAAGGTAGTCCCTGAATATGTAATTGACAAAATGTTGGAATTTGGCCGGGGCGTTGCAGAGTCCAAATGGCATGACCAAGTATTCGAAATGGCCGAAACGAGTGCGAGATGCAGTCTTCCACTCGTCCCCCTCCCTTATGCGAACCAGGTTGTATGCCCCTCTCAGATCTAGCTTAGTAAAAAGGGCTGCAGATTTTAAGCTTTGAAAAAGCTCTGGGACCAGGGGCAAGGGATAGCGATTCTTAATCGTAACCTTATTTAATTCGCGGTAATCAATACAGGGTCTTAGGGATTTATCTTTTTTCTCCACAAAGAAAATTCCCACTCCTGCTGGTGAGGTGGAAGGGCGGATGAACCCTTTTTGGAGATTCTCATCAATGTATTTCTTGAGAACCCCCAACTCTAATTCGGACAGAGGAAAAATTCGGCCGAAAGGAATCTCGGAACCGGGTAACAGATCAATGGGAAAATCGTATGGGCGGTGAGGAGGCAAGGCGTCTGCCCCGCGCTTGCTGAAGATATCCAGATAGCCATGGTAGGCCTCTGGAATGACTTGTCTTAAGCTGGGGTCCCCTTCCGAACACAGGAGAATCTGGGGAGTTCTGGGGCCCGAAGCGTGACAGTGTTCCTGACAATATGTTGAGAGGAACCATACTGACCCGTTCTCCCAGTCAATTTGGGGGTTGTGGGCCTGTAACCACGGAAGCCCCAAGATAACTGGAAAAAGGGGTGACGCGATGGCGTCAAAACGCAGGAGTGCCCGGTGTTGGCCCGCTATAGCGGTAGGAATAAGAGGGGTTTCCTGATCAACTAACCCCGATCTAATCCGGGAACCATCAGCTAGAAATAAATTAAGACCCTGTTTTCTGAGCTGTAGAGGGATCTCCTGCTGATGTGCGAAGTCTAGATCCACAAAGCAGCTGCATGCCCCTGAGTCAATTATAGCCGTCACTTCCAGGGTTCTTCCTGGGAGCTGGAAGAAGAGGGGTACAGCTAAGTAACTGGACTGGCTAACCTTCCCAATAGACAAAGAAGAAAATGAAGAAGTCGACTTACTCGCTTTCAGAGGACAGGACCGTACCATGTGACCGGCTTCTCCACAGTAGAGACAGAGGTTTTTGGATCGTCTTCGCTGGCGTTCCTCGGGAGACAGGGTATGCCAAGCCAGGCCCAGCTGCATGGGCTCCTGGGTGTCCACAGGAACAGGAGATCGGTTATCCGTTGTAGCGGGTTGGCCTGCCCCCCGGACAGGGGCCCAGGTAATCTCCTGACCCTGGCTAGACCTCTCAAACCTGCGTTCCCGCAACCTGCGATCGATTTGGATCGCCAGGGAGATAAGATCCTTCAGGGACTCAGGGACTCTGGTAGGCCCACTCTGGCCAGCTCATCCTTTAGGGCTTCAGAGAGCCCAATACGGAATTGATGACGCAGAGCAGTGCATTCCAGCGTGTATCCCCCATCCACCGTCTGAATTCGGAAGTATATTCTTCCGCCGCCCGGCGGCCCTGTCTAAGAGACTATAGGGCTGATTCAGCGGAAGCTGCCCGCTGCGGATTGTCATAAAGTATGGCCATCGCTTCAAAAAAATCGTTTACCGATTCTAAATGAGTGTCATGGTTTTCCATCAATCGATGGGCCCAGTCCTGGGTTCGTCCTGGAGCAACGAGATTATGAACCCCACTTTAACTGACTCGGTGGTGAACGTGCGGGGCTGCAAGTCAAAGTAGAGGAGACAGGAATTCTGGAAAGCCCGAAAATGCGCACGGTCTCCCCGAAAACATTCCGGCAGGGGAACATGGGGTTCGGTCATAGGGAGTGCGGCAGCAGCTCCCGTGGCAGGCCCAGGAGTTTCCCCGGACGGGGTGGTAGAGACCGGGGCCTGGGAGGTGGTGTCTTACACGGTTAATGTCTGGAAGCGGTTTTCCAGATGGGTGTATCGGTCTTGTAGTGCCCTGACAGCTTGGGTCAGGGCCGCTAAGTGCCGGCATATGTCCTCCAGTGGGGAGGGTCCTCCTCCAGACTCAGTCATGGCCGAATGGTACTGTAACGGACCACCTGACAGCACCTCTAGCAACCCACTGGTCAGGCTTCCCCGGAGCACGGAGTCTAAGTTCCGGAGCACTTGTTCACCAGGGCCCCTGATGGTGAGGATGGACTTGGACCAGGTCGCGACTACCGGGTATACCCACCAGTGGTAAAGGAGTCCGCCAGAGGATCCTGCAGAGTAAGAGTCTGATGTGAGGGGACCAGGGGGTCCCAGTGAGATGGATGGATGGACGGATGGATGGATGAGCTAAAGCTAGGTCAGACAAGCCGAGTCGGTAGGCGGGGAGTCGGTGCGGTACAAAGCAGCAGGCAAAGAATGGTCGGGTCACATGCCAGGTCAGTAACAGGAGATCAGATCTAAATAGGGACATTCAGGAGCGAGGTCAGGCAAGCCAAGGGTCAGGACAGGAGAAGGCAGCAAAGGTCAGACAATCTGGGTCAATAGTACTCACAGTCACAGGTTTCAGGGAACAGGAATCGCAGGAAGACCATTCGGCAACCAGTGACAGCACAGGGGGATTTAAATATCGCGCCCTGCGCTGTCATTGGTGCAAGGCGCGCACCCCGCAAACGCCAGTGCGCATGCGCGAACTCTGTCGCCGCGGCGGGCCGGGACCTAGCGCCTGCATCCCTGCATGAGAAGGCCTAATGCGCATGCGCCGGGACCAGCGCCGCGGCGATCCCTGACAGGTACGTTTTCGATGGACGCCCGAGGCACAGTCCGCATTCGAGACCCTGAAGAAACTGTTCACTACAGCCCCCATTCTGAATCATCCTGATTCTTCGCTTCCCTACATCCTGGAGGTCGATGCATCTGAGAACGCGGTAGGGGCCATCCTGGCCCAGAGGAAAGGGACCAAGGAGCTCATGCACCCAGTGGCATTCTTTTCTAGGAAACTTACATTTGCCGAAAGAAATTACGATATCGGTGACCGGGGACTCTTGGCCATTAAAACGGCACTAGAGGAATGGAGGTATCTGCTGGAGGGGGCCACACATCCAATACTAATCTTTACAGACCACAAGAATTTGGAATACTTGAGGACAGCCAAACACCTGAGACCACGCCAAGCTAGATGGGCACTTTTCTTTTCCCGATTTGTGTTCCACATCACGTATAGGCCCGGGTCCAAGAACATCAAACCGGAAGCCCTCTCCGGAATGTTTGAGGATCCAGAAGAAACCACTAAACCCGACATGATTCTGTCCCCTGGGAACTTTCTTGCCCTCCAAATGGAGCTCCGCTCTAGGCTTCAGTCTGCAACCGTGGAAATGGCAAGCCCACCCGAGGTTTCTCTACAGAACAAGGAGGGTCTCCTTTGGAAGGAAGGGCGAGTTGTGGTACCTGAGGAAGTCCGAACTTCAGTTCTAGGATATTGTCATGATCACCCATTAGCGGGCCATTTTGGAATCACCAAGACCCTAGAGTTGCTCCAGCGCACCTTCTGGTGGCCGAGCATTGTCAAAGATTGTGAGCAGTATGTAAAGTCCTGCGCCATCTGTCAGAGGAACAAGCCCATCAGAAGCAAGGCCTGGGGTTTACTACGACCTTTACCTATACCGAGTCGGCCATAGCAGATGATTGCTCTGGATTTCATAGTGGAGCTTCCCCCATCTCAAAACCATTCAGCAATTTTTGTGGTTGTTGATCGTCTATCAAAGATGGCCTGTTTCTTGCCCCTAAGGGGCATGCGCTCGGCCCTGGAAACAGCGAAGATTTTCGTGAAGGAAATAGTAAGGCTTCACGGGATTCCAGAAGACATCGTTTCTGACCGTGGGGTCCAGTTTACCTCGAAGTTTTGGAAGGCGTTATGCGAGATTCTGGGTATTCAACTTTCATTTTTGTCTGCCTACCACCCACAGACCAATGGGCAGACAGAGAGGACAAATCAGACACTTGAGCAGTACTTGAGATGTTATACATCCTTCCTCTAGGACGATTGGTTGACACTCTTGCCATTGGCCGAATTCGCGTACAACAACGCAAATCACTCCGCAACGGGGCAATCCCCATTCTTTGTGAATTATGGGTTCCACCCCACATTCTTGCCTGACCAAATTCCTGAATGTCCAGTTCGTGCCACGCAGGATATGCTGAGTTTTTTTTCTGCCAATAACAAGGTGCTTCAAGAAGCAATCATGAAGGCCCAAGAAGACAGTAAGAGGGCTTTTGACAGGAAAAGAACAGGGGAACTGATCTTGAAACCTGGGGATCAGGTCTGGCTGGCAACTACCAACTTAAAGTTGTCTTGTCCTTCGAGGAAATTGGGGCCTAAGTTTATGGGCCCATTTCGGGTCAAACGAAAGATTAACGAGGTGGCATATGAACTTTTGTTACCAGGGACCTGGAAGATTCACCCAGTGTTTCATGTCCCGCTACTAAAGCCAGCAGTACCGGATGCTTTCCCTGATCGAAGATCCAAACCCCCGGAAGCCATAACCATCAACGAACAGGAGGAATTTGAGGTAGAATCAATCTTGGATTGCAGGAAGAGGGGCGGCCAGACACAGTTCCTGATAAAATGGAAGGGCTACGGCCCTGAGGAAAATTCCTGGGAGCCGGCTCAAAATGTTCAAGCCCCTAGACTTGTCCGAGAGTTCCATCGTAGCCACCCAAGGAGGAGAGATCAGTTGGGCACCCGGAGGATGCCCATGGGGGGGGGCAATGTCAGGGACCATCGCGACGCATGGGTCTGCACATGCGTAGGTGTCTGTCAAGACATGCAGGCAGCAGGGCACTAGGACCAAGGCGCACCCGTCACCTATGACGGTGCTGGGCAGGTACTAGGACCTAGGCTGCGCCTGTCAGGTGCAGGGCGGGCTACTTAAACCAGCCCTGCACAGACACAAGTTGCCGTATGGTCTGATCTTGTTCCTGTGTTCCCGTTGTTTGAGATTCATTGCTGACCTGCCTGGACCTGACCTCTGCTGACTTCTCCTGCTCTGACCCCTGGCTAAGTTTGACCTCTCTTTTGGATATCCCTACCTAATCTGAACTACTGGTACTGACCCCGGCGAGTGACCTGACTATTCTTCTGCCTGCTGCCTTGTACTACGCTGACCCCTCTGTTACCGACCTGGCCCGTTTGACCACGCTATTGCTGACCCATCCATCCGACCCGCACGGATTAGCTGCTACTCTCCAGACCTGTCTGCCTCTTCACGTCAGGCTCTCTACCTGTCAATACCTCTGGTGATTCCTCTACCTCAGGTGGGTGTACTCAGGGGCCGCGACCTGGTCACTGTCCGCTCCAAGCCCATCCCCACCATCAGGGGCTCTGGTGAACAAGCGGACTGGGGCTTAGACTCCGCGCCCTGGGGAATCCTGTCCTGTGGACTGCTAGAGTACACCAGGTGGTCCATAACACTACCTGTCACAACGCTCTTTCAGCGTTACCTATAATGCTACCACCTCCCCCTCACTCCCCCTCTCTGTTAGGGTCCCTCAAGGCTCTGTCCTCGGGCCCCTTCTCTTCTCCATCTACACCTCCTACCTTGGCCAACTCATATACTCTCAGGGCTTCAACTACCACCTCTATGCCGACGACACACACAAATCTATCTCTCAACCCCCCACCTCACCCCCTCGGTCTCCGCCCGAATCACACACCTACTGAGTGACATATCAGACTGGATGTTGCTCCACTTCCTTAAACTGAACCTCTCTAAAACCGAGTTTCTTGTCTTCCCCCCAGCCCGGACACCACCCCCCATTGACTTCTCCGTCACATCCAACAACGCCACCAAAAAAACCCGCCCCGCAGGCCAGAGTACTTGGTGTCATTCTGGACTCCAACCTATCCTTCCAGCCCCAAGTCCAATCTTTAACAAACTCGTGCAGACTCCACCTCCGCAACATCGCAAAAATACGCACGTTCCTAACCCCAGTAACCACTAAACAGCTCATCCACTCCCTCATCATATCACGACTCGACTACTGCAACTCCCTCCTCACTGACCTGCGTCGCCGCTGGCTATCCCTGCTTCAGTCGATCCTGAATACGGCTGCCAGACTCATTCACCTTTCCAACCGCTCCATCTCCGCCACCCCCCTCTGCCAATCCCTCCACTGGCTTCCGATTGCGCAACGGATCAAATTCAAAATCCTAACACTGACGTACAAAGCTGTCCACCATACTGCCCCGTACTACATCACTGACCTAATATCCAAGTACCGCCCAGCACGCACACTCCGCTCCTCACAAGACCTCCTTCTCTCTAGTTCCCTGGTCTCCTCCTCCCATGCCCGCCTCCAGGACTTCTCCAGGGTGTCACCCATCCTCTGGAACTCCCTGCCCCAACCCATCAGATTATCACCTACTCTCCTCTCCTTTAGGCGCACCCTGAAAACCCATCTCTTCAGGGAAGCCTACCCCACCCCCTGCTAACCTGCCGACCTCCTCCACTCTTCCTACCACTCCTTCCCCCACAGCTATCTCCTCCTGTACCACTATCCCCTCCCCCCTAGATTGTAAGCTCGAAAGAGCAGGGCCCTCGATCCCCTCATGTTTTGCATTGTGTTGGTATTGTTCTGTCACATGTTCTGTCCCCCTTTGTAATGTACAGCGCTGAGCGAACCATTGGCGCTTTATAAATACTGTATAATAATAATAATAATACTTGTTAGAAGCTTTCTTTAGTAAATGTCTTTGCCGTCCAAAAGTAGACGGACTCTAATGAAAAGTAGACGTTAGCCTACGGAAATGCGCCTAGGCACATTAGTAAATCAGGGCCCTAGCGTTCAGGGATACAATCTTAAGAGAGGCACATTTCGATGTACAATGTTTTGGGTCCATTTCAGGGTGTCTCTGTGTTGGCGAGTTTTCTGTCAGCTGGAGGTATCGAGCTAAGGGGTATGAGAAGAATAACGGGTAGTGGAGTTTGAGGCAGGCGTGGATGGGCAGTGTCTTGGATCAGATGTGGAGTGGTAGAGGAGGGAAGAAAAGAAAAAAAAAGGGGGATTTTGAAATTTAGAAAAAGAGAATTAGAGTGGTAGCCAAGTCCGTAGAAGATTATAATTGCCTATAGGGCTAAATAGAGAAATCCGACAGCAGGAGTTAGGCCAGCTATCCTGCGTTGTAAGGTAGGAAAGAAAGGTGTCGGAGGTATTCAGCACGAGTTCAAGAGCGCTGCTGTTGTGGGAGGTGGTAGGAGGTAGGTCACATATAATCCTTTTCTAAAAAAATTAGCAAAAAAGAATATAAAAAAATGAAAAATTACAAGGATGGTGGGAACCACTCCTGTTGGTATTTTCAATCCAAATGTATGCCCAATGCAATACTGCACAGCATAATATTAACAGAAACATTAGAAATTCTGGCTAACAGTCTAAACCAGCAATGGGCAAACTACGGCCCGCGGGCCGTATACGGCCCGGCGGACCTTTTAATCCGGCCCGCGGAGCGTGATACTGTCAGGATGGCTGTCAGGATGTGTGTAGGCGGGGCAGCGTGACGAACGCGAGGGGAGCTAGGCTCCTCTCACAGTCCGCCATGAAGACCGGTGTAGCATGAAAATCTGTCTCCTATGAGGATCTGTCCCCCTCGACGTATCTGCGCATGTGCCGGAGATCGCCGATCGGCTGCTAATGCCTGAAACTGGCACATGCGCAGATACGTCGAGGGGGACAGATCCTCATAGGAGAAAGATTTCATGCTACACCGGAACAGCGCGGGAACACGGCGAGAGGAACGCGCAGAGCAAAGGTAAGTGTATTGACACAGGGGGGACTTGGGGACTTAATATGGGGGATGAATTAATATGGGGAATGAATTACTATTGGGGGGATGAATTACTATATGGGGGATGAATTACTATGGAGGATGAATTACTATGGGGGATGAATTACTATATGGGGGATTAATTACTATGGGGGATGAATTACTATATGGGGGATGAATTACTATATGGGGGATGAATTACTATGGGGGATGAATTACTATATGGGGGATGAATTACTATGGGGGATGAATTACTATATGGGGGATGAATTACTATGGGGGATGAATTACTATAGGGGGGATGAATTACTATGTGGGGGATGAATTACTATATGGGGGATGAATTACTACGGGGGATGAATTACTACGGGGGATGAATTACTATGTGGGGGATGAATTACTATGGGGGATGAATTACTATGGGGGATGAATTACTATATGGGGGATTAATTACTATGCTTACTATGGGGGAATATTACTATACTTACTATGGATGACACATACACATCATTCATCTACTCTTGGTCCGGCCCCCGGGTCCAATATATGAACCCATTGCAGCCCTCAAGTCAAAAAGTTTGCCCACCCCTGGTCTAAACTAACAAAAACATATTAAGTGCAAGAGTGGCGTCAACCTCCCAAGAAAAAGTCTGAGTGTTGAAAAAGAGTGATGCAAAAAAGGAGAAAGTGTCAGGAAAACCCCTTAAACAAGAAAGTATAAGGCTTCATATGTGTCCCCAGTGAGCACCAGCTAAGAAGAATCACCTTGGGATCCACCAGCAGGCAGGGAATGCTCTCACCTTAAACTCTGACCAATACACACTTCCCAATGCACTTTCCTCTTCCAGGGGTCTTATCCTATGGCTATCTGCTTTGCCAATCCTACAGCTCTAATTCACAGGTAACAATGCACTTCTCAGATTGTTCGCCCCTGTATGACCTGCTTGTGGTACATACATACATACATACAGCATGCCGGGGGGGGGGGGGGGGGGTGTCAATCATATAGCCACCTTGACGAATTCCAGCAACACCAAAAAACATGGTATCTCTACCTACTTAGCTTGAGTCATTGAGATAAAGTCATTTCTTTAATTAATAAGCAATTTATTTCTTCCTAAGTAAATATATTATCTGTTTTACTGACAGTTTATCATGTTTGCCTCACTCTTTCCTCCAAATTCCAAAATTATTTGGAGGTTACCACCACTATTGTACTTTGGTTGTTTGGTTCTGATTGTTACACTGAATTTAGAATGTTTTCAGTATTCTTCCTATGTGAAATATTGCACCAGGTCATTTTTACTGCAAATATCTATCTGAGGGGTTGCAAACATCCCCGTTACTGATTATTTTAACTATTCTATTGTTCTGCAACTTATTGTATAGACTGTTATTGTGGCAAGATTGCCCTTTATTAAGAATAACAGACATTAGTTGGTTCAACCACTATTGTAAAGTTAGAGATGAGTAAGGAAAAATAATATTTTTGGGATTGTTAGCTTCTCTCAGCATGGCAACACGACAGTGCTTATCGGCAAGCATTTGTTTCCCATTGTACCATTTGGATCAACAGTCATTCATAGTAAATATTAGTGTGGTGCTGACATATTACATCAGGGGTCCACAAATTTATAAAACAGGGGGCCAGTTCACTGACCTTCACACTATTGGGGACCAGACTATAGTTTGAAATACATAAAAACAAATTGCTAGCCCCTCGCACATATCGTATTTGGAATGGCCAAAAACTGGAAAACACCATATAATATTTCAAATGCACTGTACACTGTACTCCGTAACACACTGTACTCTATTGCACTGTACACTAATGCCGTGGACACCAAAATGCACTGTACACTGTAACACACTGTACACTAATGCCCTGAACACCAAAATGCACTGTACTCTGTAATGCCCTGGACACCAAAATGCATTGTACTCTGTAACGCACTGTACTCTTAACACATTAAAATGCACTGGACACTAATGCACTGTACTCTAACACACTGTACACTAACACACTTGTCATGGAAATTTTGTATTACAGGTTGAACTTTAAATGCGTCATATATTAGTGTTATTCATATGTCTCTCATGTGGCTTAATTAAAGCTCTGAAGGCTGCAATTAGGCCATGCGCACGTACAATGTATATATTACAGTACTCAGCTCGGTAATGGATGAGATGGCAGATCTGCGCTTATAGACCGGCGTGTATACCACCACGGCATTCGATGCGAATGCCGCCGGCGGTAGGCCGCGGGCCTGTATCCACATATCAGCAGCATAGTACCACATGGACTTCGTATGGCCAGGCGCCGAGCAGTGCGAACTCCGCCTGTAGGCTCATGTATATCTTACAAGCCACTACCGGCCTGAACTGTATCTGGATGGATGTGTTTTAATAAAGATCGTATCGGGCCCATTCAGATACAGACTGACACTGTTTAATCTAAGGGATGCTTATACAGACAATGTACATACTACTAGGAGCTGATAGCATGTAAAGGATGGGAAGTTCGCTCTCCACAGAGAGTTTATGGGGGAGGGGAGGACTGGTGTAACTGGCTTCCAGTATAGA